CCTCTGCTGCCTCTCTTTCCCAGGTCACAATTCTCAGGGTCATATTGCCCCGCGATTGCGTTAAGGTGAGGGGGCGGCGGGGTGATGGCGAGAGTATGGAGCCTGCCACTTGGGAGCTAGTGGTTTAGCTCTCATCTCCCCAGCAGCTTGGCCTGGGGGCAGCCTCTGTTGCCCCAGGTCACAAAGCACAGTTTCTCTGACAGCTTAGCCACCTGAGGTGAGCAGGATGTGCTGAGGGGGCGGAGGCAGCAGCCAAGGCAGCGACGGAGGGGGCTGTCCCAGGCCAGCTGGTCTATTTGTTCCCATCCCTACCTTTGCTTCCCTAGTTTCGCAGGACGTCCTTCTCCAGTTAATCCTTCCCCTGGGAGGTGGGCGCAGTGCATGCAGCCCAAGGTCTGGGCTCCCCCCTGGGGAGTGGAAGAACTCTCTTGTTCTCCTTTGTCTTTATTCTTCAGCGAAGGGGTTACTTGACCCAATTCTTAATCCTGAGAAAGTGTAGCCTGTGTTACGGAAGAGCTGCTGGACAGTGTGGTTTCTAGGTGGGTTTTCACATCATCTGATGCCCAAGGCAGGTAGGAAAGCTATTACTCAGAGCTTCTTAGTGTGGAGTTGGGGGATGGCCCAGCTGCCCTCACCATACTTTTTAAAAATGTGTTACTCCCTTCTTTTTCCTAGGTGACATTTTAGGTTTTTGGGTCATAGATTACTGGCACACTCATCCCTGTTCTCAAACATCTTTTAAACTTAGGTGAAGTGATACATAGGGGAAGAAGATGATTTATTGAAAGGTAAGAATACTTAAATTTGCATTAAAGCTACATTCTGTCAATCTTTCTCAAATGATTTTTCTCAGATTCAAAATCCACGACCTAGTGAATATTGTACTCCTGTGTAAATCATTGATCTTCACACCACATTTGTTAAATGGTCAATGAGATTTGTTAAGTAATTATTCCTGAAAGAAAAAGCTCAGGCTTTTGAGAATTCCTTTTCTGATGTCACCCAGACAGTCACAGTAGAAGACAGAGCTGATATAAAAATCCCTCAGCTGCCTGAACTGCAAAGCTTATGGGATTACCGATCCCTGAAATGCAGGTGACTCTTGATGATATTCTGGGGGATGGTTTACATGATCAGATTCTTCCAGTCCTGTAAATGTGTTCCGTGGCCCCAGCCCCGGGAGAACTGGTCATAAGGGCCATATCGTGGGGGGTGGGATGGGAAGGCAGGGTGTAAGAGCTGGAATCACTGAGATTCCACACTTGCTAAATCACTGTGAGATTCCAC